ATTTACCAGATAATTGCCAACCCACCCTTTAGAGCGAAAGCGCCTACATCAAATCTCAATGGACATGCTTTTTTCCCTCAAAATGGTTTGTTTGTAGCCCTTCAAGCCGAAAAAATTCCAATACTTGTAAAACACTGAAACAAGAAGTTGAAAAAAGGCGCATTTATACTTCCATTCATCTCGGCTGTCGGGATGTTGACAAGGAGCCAGGAATGTTTTTTTTGTGGGGAAATCAAAGGACACCACGTTAATTGTGGGTCACGGGGCGCTGATAAAAAAACAATGCAGTTTGGTTCAAGTGCCATTCATCTTGAATCGAGTAGGCCCGTATGCAAGCATCCCATGGACTGTTAAGTAAGGTTGATGACGCGTTTGAGCGGGATTGCAAAGATGAAAACCAAAAATTGCCAAGTGAGGGACTTTCCCTTGTTTTCCCCCTCATCTAATCTTTCTGGAGGAAAAAATTAACACTGTTTGTAATGTGGCATACAAAGTGTGGCATTGTCATTTTCCCGGAAATATTTTTGAGTAAGGCTGTAAAAAATGCCCCATGATATTAACCACACTTTCTTCATCTATTTACTGCAGTCCATACGTATTACAACATTCCAAAGGCGCCACCAGAACGCGGAAAAAAAACCCCAGAATCCACTGCCTCTGCCGTGGCAGTAGGGGTTCCAAATCAACAACTTCTCTGAAATAGGTATTTCTCACTTTTTTTTTCCTGCCCGTTTTGGAGGCATCTGCCGGATACGCCATTTGTTGGGGCTTCCTGCCGTTTGGTTCCATGGCGAAAAAACTTCTGCCAAACAAAAAAAATTACCAGTTTTTTCGACTTGCTGGATTCAAAGAAAGTGAGCATGTTCAGTGCTGATAAATGGGTTTTGGATTACCCGAGTGTGCTTGGGGATCGCCCGACGCTGTCCGATCCCCGTTATTGGGCTTTGCAAAGTCGTTGTTTGGAAGCTGAGGAGACCCGCGGATAAAAGTGGTCGACATGTTTCTGTCGGAGGTTTACATGGTTATCCGAGAAATGTAACGGATGCTTCTCTTGTTTTGTCGGTTTGCAGTCAAAGTGCTTTTATTAGTCCGAAGTGAAATTGTCTAAAATCCGGATGATTTAAAATTTTCCCGACCCAATTAAAACTGGTAACGTGCCCGGTTTTTAACTCCAACTCTTTTAAGACATTTAAGTTCGTAACTCCTTTGTACCGCTCTGGCCTGAGGCCGTTTGTGTCTGTCGCGCAGGCCATATTTGCGCATGCGCGCCACCCCATCAGGACAGCCTTCCACTGTACCCGGTGAGGAGAGGCAGGTTCTGTCAACAACCGTTTACTTTCGGCCGCACCTCCACAGCATCAAATAGCATCCCATTGGAGGAAACACATTATTCCTATCTAGGACTGTGCAGATTTCTGTTTTATTTAAAAACAACAAAAAGTTGTTTATCCTGTGTTATTCCTTCATTAATAAACATTGGATGTGATTTAATCTTGATGACATTCTACAATTTACAAATAGGACACATTATTTGTTGACAATTACCAATCATTATCTCCCAACATGGGCGAAGATGAGTTGTTTATTTTCAATTTTAAAGCATAATCAATTAATGTTATAAGGGGCGAAGCCTGATTTAAGTGGTGACAGTTTGGGCTGGGATGGGCTTTTGTTGGGCTGGCCTTTGGAGCTGCCTGGAACCAAAGGGGTTTGGCTGGGGGTTTCCACTCACCTTCTAAAAGGTTGGCACTTGGCGCAGACACTTAAAATGCCCATTTGCACGGAGAAGGATGCTTAATCGAGACTCTGCTAAAATCATTCAAAAAATATTCCCCTCATACGCGAGGGATGAAGCAATATTCAGTTTTCCTAGTTTGGGATGTGGGGTAACTGGGGAAGAGCTATAGCATATGACTAGATCTGATTTTCATATGCCATCACCAGGGCCCCCCCTCATGCTCTGGAGCGTTCATTTGGTTATGGTTTTTCCTTCAATTCATCACCCATAAGTCAATTTTACCAATACCTATCCAACACTTTTAAAGTAACTGATCATTTAAACTTCTGCTGAAATGTATATTCCGTTTATGCCAAGCACATACAATTAAACATCAAACATGTAGGGCAACACCTCTTGCCCATGCCAAATAACTAACATCTGTAACAACACACTGAAAATTCACCTCGACGACTGCAAACAGTGCTATGGGGATGTTTTTGGCAGTAGACTGGATGGGATGCTGTTTAATTAAAGCATTACCCAGTGGGATTAGCACTACCACCTTATAGAATATATGAGTGCAGGTGCCTGCTGTGTCTTCTTGTCAATTGCTTTTGCGTAATTTGATGCAGTATTTATGCTGGGGGAATTTGCATTCGCATCCGCACCAAGCAACCATTGCTAAGTTAACCCTTTTGGGTTTGCCCTCTCTAAATACCGGGAGGCCCCCCCCCCTTGATGAAATTAGTGCTATAAGAGGCATATTATTAGTGAAATGTGTCACAATTTGACAAAACAAATGTTCAATTGCCTGGCTATCTGATCAATTAGTACATTGTACACATTTTTTATTTTTGAATATATTTTTTTTTTTTTTTTTTTTTTGTACACCACTTTTTACTCCCTTTTGAAAATATAATTGTAACACCACAGTGTTTATCATCCACCGATTTCGTATTATTAAAATGGTACTTTGTCAACATAACAT